GCTTCTTTTCTATACCACTATATCCAGAGGATTGTGATAAATTTGCCTTATCCATTTCTTCACTTAATTATTCCAAACATGATCAACGTTTTGATGGGTAGTGCTACCAAAAGGAATGGCTAATATCCTGGCCTTCTGTCAACAGTATCTTGCTACTCTCTTAAGGCCTATGCTAGAGTCAAAGGATTCAATAATATATGCTTTTATGGATGATTTAATTTTGGGACATGGGGATCCAGCATATCTGGAGGGCTTTGTGGCCCAGGTGCTCCAATTGCTTAAAAAGGGGATTTTTACTGTGGCCCCAGAAAAGGTCCAAAAACTGTCCCCCTTCAAAGTTCTTGGGTCATGCCTCACACTGACACAGGCTAACCCACTTAAGCTTGTTCTGGAGATGCCTGAATCTGTGACCCTGACCCAGCTCCAACACTTACTAGGGAGATTAATTGGCAGAGACCCTGGGTGTCAATCACCACAGAAGACTTGGTACCCCTGTATGCCCTGCTAAAGGACAAGGCACCTCATGATCGTATAACCGCATCTTGCTCCTCATCTTTCAGAAGGCCTTTGGACATATGCTCTCTAAGGAGGCCCTTGTCCCTCTGGCTGTTTGCTGGAGCCTCCCTGATTACAGCGGTTGTAAACCAGGAGGGGGAGTCATTGGAATGGATCCATATGTCTTTGGGAGGAACACCCTGAGTCTACTCTCAGTCAGATCAGCTCCCTGATGCCATTATAAAGGGCAGGACCCAAGCCCAGTGCCACTATGGGCTAGACCCCCATACTATTGTCTTCCCCTTCTGGGTGGGATATTGAATGGCTTGCTCAGGCTAATGCCTGCCTTGCTCTTGCCTTAGAAGGATTTATGGGGAGTATTGATTGCCACTATGGGCTGTCCAAATAGGCTCCTCTTTTATAGAGACTCTCCCTTAAGATGCCCTCCTTGTTTCCATCTGAGCCCATCCAGAAAATCATTTGCATCTTCACTGATGGGGGCTGAACAGGCTCTGCCTACATTGCCTTTGGGGGATACCAAGCAACACCAATACACCAAAGATTTCAACCCTGCCAGGGTTCTGCCCACAGTAAGGAAATGATGACTGTGATGCTGACATTACAGGACATCTCTGAGCCCTGCAATCTGTTTTTCAGTCTCTATGTGGTTAATGTATTTCCCCATATCCCACAAGCACACATCCAGTTAGATAATAACCCTATAGTCCCCTCATGGTGGCTCTTAAGACCCTTTTAGAGGGTAGAGAGTAACCAATTTACCTTCAACAACTTCTGGGGCACTCTGGCCTCCCAGGGTTCCTGACTAAGGACAATGAATGGGTGCATAAACTGGTGACAGCCCCAGAGGCACTAACCCTACAGGAAGTCACCCAATTGCATGATATGACCCATGTCAACTGGAGGGAACTATATAATAATTCCCAATGTTTCCTATAAAATAGCTAAAATGTTCATGCCTGCAAATCATGTCAACCATATCTAAGAGTTCCCCCTCTACAGCCACCAGGAGTTAACCCTAGAGGCCTACAGCCCAATACCTTCTGGCAAACCAATGTTACTCATTTTCCAGTTTTTGGAAAACAGAAGTATGTTTTTGTCTCCACCTATTGGGCCACTGCACATACAGGGGAACAAACCAAACATGTTCAAGCTCACTTCCTCCAATGTTTGTCAACCCTAGGATTACCCACACAGGTTAAGACTGATAAAGGCCCTTGCTTTGCCAGTAATTCCATGGCAGAATATTTCGATAGATGGCACATCAGATGCGCTATAGGAATCCCTTACAACCCTCAGGGACAGGCAATTGTAGAAGGAAACTATCAGTGTCTCAAAGAACAACTTTTAAAACAGAAAGGGGGAATCAGTCCCCATTTACAACTAACTAGGAATGGCTTTATTTATTATTAATATTTTGAATTTTTCTAAGGGAGAAACTGAATCTAAGTTCCAAAACATTGGGACCACCTAAACCTCAAACCCCAAGTTAAGGTCAAATGGAAAGACCCTCTAACATCCCAATGGAGGAGCCCAGACCCGTTAATTACAATGGGAAGAAGATTTGGATATGTCTTCCCCATAGGGGAGGAAGCACCCATCTGGCTCCTGTCCAGAAATCTAAAATTCCTGCCTGCTCCCACAATGCAGGAGGATGACCAGCAACAGACTGACCAACAAAGAAAGGAAACAACAATGGTGGTCAAGGCTCATCTTCCAAAATAAGAGGGCCAATACAATGATACCTAACCATGTCCAAGGGCACTGGACCCTTGAGAAGCTCTGTGTTCCTTAAAAATTACAGATGATGTCCTACTTCCTGATCCTTCAGACACTCCTGCTGCTGATGCTGACTTCTCCAGTGACCACCCAGCAGAACCCTCATCGTCCCCAAAAGGTGACATGGATGGTGATCAATACTGTCAATGGAGATGTCCTCAACAACACCACAAACGAAGCAGCTCCCCAGACCTGGTGGCCCATGCTCTTCTTCCACATCTGTGACCTAGCTCAAGGAAATGCGGAGAGTTGCAGGGGTGCTACCTGCCCTATGTATCAGATCCCCAACGCCCAGGCTGCTCACATGCTCCCAATAAGGAAGCCTTATGGAACATTGACCTTTACATATGCCCAGGGGGCAATAGAACAGCAGCAGACATATCTAAATGTGGTGGGGCAGATGCCTTCTACTATGTACAATGGGGGTGTGAGAAAGGGGACAGGCTTCTGGATAAGGCAGAGTGGGCCCATTAAGGTCAAAAGGGTTAACCATCCCAAGCTCACCTGGAATCCTCTGTATGGGACATGTCATTATCAGTGTAACTGCTGTAAGATTACCCTAACTGAAGAGGGAAAGAGGATTCCTCATTGGGAGATTGGGATGACATGGGGGCTCTGACTATATGTATCAAAAGGGACAAGACTAAGGGTTACTCTTTATCATTAGAAGAACAGTTCAGCCAACACAAGGTCCCCAGCTTACTGGGCCATTAACGACCCTGATCTCCATCCAGTTGAGACCCTTTAAAATAATTTGTGTCTTTGAGCCTTGCCTTTTCCATAGGCTGATCAGAACAAAGACTCAAGAGATCCAACTGATAACCCTTCGTGTACCTAAGGATATCTCCCTTTTGAGTGAACCTTGACAAAAGGTGGTTTAAGAGATGAACCTCTGCAGAGGTGCCAAGAGGCCTATACTTCAAAATGAGGTGGGCCATGGTCTAAAACAAAAAGGGAGAATCTGAAGGGCATACAAGCCAGTTAAAGATGGCACCAAGGGGAAGTCAGGAGGGCGAGTCCTATGATATTTACACGAAAGTGTTATTGATCGCCAAGATCAAACCAGATGAGGTCACTGAGTGAACGGCTGGTGTTCACTAGGTAAAGCATAGGGCACCTAGGCACATGATAGGCTGACCTTTAAAACCATTGGCTTACTCATGTTACAAATGGAGAAACAGGAACAGAGAGGATCAGATATGCAGGCCCTAACAGCAAAGTAGGCCTGCACAGTTTCTAATCACAGCTGTGGAATGCCAACTCCACACTGGCTTCTAAGAGTGACATGTGTTTCTGTTTGTCTGTCTGATAGAGAAGTATCCCTGTCCATCTTTGTATATCAGAATTCTACCTGCCATAATATGTGTTCAGTAAAATCATGCTAAATTAATCAATAAAAAAAGAAAAGCACTGGTTGACTGTTTTCCTGTTATGTGGCTTTTTCCCTTTAAAAGATGCTTTCTGTGGGACAATAAAGGAGTTCCTGCTTGACTAGACTCCCTGCTGAGTCTCATTGTCTCTGGGATCCTGGAACTCTGGGGAACCTGCAAACACTGCACTTATCCTTCCTCAGACTCAGCTCAGCCTTCTGTGGTTGGGCTAAGACCCTGAAGACCTGGAATTTATGCTAAGCTCAGGGTGACTCTTAACTCATGATTCTCTTCCCTTGACTCCACATGTGCTGGGATTACAGACATGTACCGTCAGGTCTAGAATTGGGATATACTTTTTAGTGGTCATCTTATCCTTTAAACCATCATGTAGTAGTAGTAGTAGTAGTATTTACTGTGTGTTTGTGTGTGCACAAGTGAAGGTTAGAAGAAGGGATCAGCTCCCCTGGAACTGGAGATACGGATAGTTGTGTTCCACCCCATGTGGGTGCTGGGAGTTAGACTCAATTCCTTTGTAAGAACAGAAAGCACTCTTAACTGCCGAGCCATCCCTCCAGGCCCAGATTATTTTATTCTTAATGCTTTCTTTCATTTTAGGCAAATGAAACTGTTTTGTGAAGAGTCATAGAGCCATGACTTAATTATAAGTGACAAGGGGTAATTTTTCATTGAACAATTATAACTTTCATACAACAAAAATTGAAATAATTGAGAAATGTTGTACTGCATGTTGGACAAAGCAGCTGATTTTGAAATCTTAACATTTTGTTCTAGCTTGTTGCATGAGAGTAAGGACACCCAGGTAAAAATTTGTGGGTTAATACAAGTCTGACTTCCAGGTATTGTATAACTTAGAGTAAACCAATGGCTGATGATAGCATCTGTGCTATATATATATATATATATATATATATATATATATATATATATATTAATTTAAATTAGAAACAATCTTATTTGACATATCAATCCCCAGTTCCCTCTCCCTCCCATTCTCCCATGCTCCCCACTAACCCCCCCAATCCAACCCTCCACTCCCCAGGGAGGGTGAGGTCTTCCATGGGGCATCATTAAAGTCTGTCACACCATTTGAGGGAGGGCCTAGGCTAAGAGAGTATCCCTCCATGGGGAACAGGCTCCCAAAGTCCATTTGTGCACTAGGGATAAATACTGGTTCCACTGCCAGAGGCCCCATAGTCTATGGAGCATCTGTGCTTTTTAAAAGAGGGGAGGAAGAGAGGAGAGCCACCACCTTCAGCAAGAGTTTGTACAGGACTCACCCTTTTCCCTGAAAACATGATCTTATGCATGCATTACCTTGCTCCAGTTTCCCACTCGCCAGCCAGCACAGGGGCGGAGGTGGCACTTCTTGGCAGGGTCTGGCCTCTGAATGGCTGCACAGTCAGCATTCATCCCGGTGCTGCACTCCACACTCCTCCAGTAGGCCCCCAGCCCACATGTGGTGGAGCACTGCAGCAGGGAGGACAGCAGAAGAGAAACGGAAAGCTTTTACTCAGGTATAATCCTCACCAGGATCCTGGACACAGAGGCGTCCTGTCCCAGAAGCTAAGGTTGTCCCAGATATGAATACACACACAATCTGAGTGTCTGGCTGAGTGGTTTAGAATGAACAGCTTTAACAGACAGCCACAGTTAGAGATCACCCAGCTGCCCATGAAAGGACAGCCCAGTGCAAATGGAAATGTGCTTTTCCTTGGTAAGTACACTGACACAAATGCCTGGGCCACAGGCACATTGCTGTATCCCTATCATTCCAGTTTAGAATGGATGTCAGATGTGAGCATGTGCCTCACACCTCACACCCAATGTGGCAATGACTTTTACCTAATTTCTTTCAACGGTGCCAGTTAGTTTTATTTATTATAAGATAGACAAAGACACAGAAGTTTAATGCTGGTTTGTCCATGGAGGAAGATGGAGTCATTCTTTCTCCAGATCCTATGTCATATATTCCAGTAGTGACTCCCAAACTCTAGCATCTATGTCTCTAAGTAACATCCAGGAACCCTGATAAATGCAGATTCACATCAGTCAGTGTCCTCACTAGCACTGCAAGGCAGCATTTTTACCAAGTTCCCAGATGATGCTGGTGTTGTTGCCTCTTAGACCACAGCTGGAGGTGGGAAGAAGTGACAAAATGCTGCCTGTCTTCTTGCTCCACTGGCAGAGAACAAGGTAGCAGTCTTTTCCATAGGTAGAATTCATTTGTTTCAAGTTGTTTCCATTCATGTATCATTTATTCAGTATCACTAGTTTAGCTTGCATCTACCTTGAAAAGTACACAGTTTCTCCTGTTGGTCTTTGTTGTTGTTTTTTTCTCCTTGTATCCTCTTTGCTGCTTACCCTTATGAAGGGGTTGTTTCTGAATATATAAAACACAGCTGCAAGCATATTTAAAAGAAAGTTTCTTTTGATAAATTATATAAATCAAGAGTAAGCCTGTGTTTCCTTGACTGCTCATTTGCCTTCTCTACAATTTGGTGCTTCATCTGGTACAAATTTTGGTATTATTATAAATACAGGCACATGGTATTATAAAGCATGTATATGTGTGTATGTAAATATAGTCACAGTTATATCTTAGGTAAACTATAGAATCACAGAAAGGGAAAAGTAGAAAACACCAAATGTCATAATCTTATTTCAATTTTCATTTATAAGGGAAATTTCTCCTTAAAATTCTTTAGAACTTGATCTGTGTCTTTTCTGTTTCTCTTTGAACATCATCATGCATCTTTATAGTAGAGACAATGGCAGCTAATGTACAATTACCATCTCATGGATGAAGCCTGCTAACGTTCCCCCATCATTTACACTCATACATTTCTTAGTTTCTCTCATCAAGAGATGAACTCGGTTTTCTCAGCCATTAAATGAAGGCTGTTCTTGGGACTTCTTTTGGCTCACAGGGTATGCAGGCTAATGCTGTGTTAGTAACCATTCTTTGGTTCCCACACTGGCTGTGGACTCTACTTTTGCCATGAGCTTTTGCCTGGGTAACTCATGAGAGGACGAAAGTTAACATGAAACAGGACTAAATGACTCTGCAGAAGCTACCCCAGGCCAGCTTTCAACTGACCTCCAGCAGGGACCTGAGAGGTTAAGCTGCAGTTGATAGAACCTCCTGATGAGTAAGCACAGTTCTACTGTTTGTCAACTGTAAACTGGTGATAATGGTAGGAGCCCCCCTCATGTTGGGTTGTTGTTAGGACTAATGATTACTTATGCATACCACCTTGCACAAGGTCACACAAGCTGTATGCTGTGTTATTAACTTAATATTGTGACACAGAGGGAGAATATAACATTTTGGCAAGCCTAGGACAGTTGCTAATGAGACCGCATTGCCAGGTTATGATCTCATTAAATCTCAAGAGATGGCCATATTTCCTTGGGTCATATTTGTGCTACAAATCATATATATTGTTTATGGAGCTTGGAGTTTGGTCCTCCTCACCAGAATTGGCTTAATTCTCTTTGACATTTTCTATTTAGGCATCCTGCAACAGTCCAAAAGTAAAGCTGACATGAGGAAATCCACTGACTATAGAAAAAACAAAACAAAACCCACATTCTGTCAATTAGAGGTTTCCTTATATTGAATTACTTTCAAACTGGAAGTAGGAGACAGAGAAAACAAGAGGCTTTTGAGGAAGTGTATGGGGGGTGGTAACTTCATTCCATCCTGTGACCAATTGACCTTCATTCTGTCTTGCAGCAACTGACCCATCAGGTATAGGAACAAGTGTTGGGTGCTAGAGCTGGAGCAGATACTGAGGGTCAGGTCAGCAACATCTGAAAAACAAAAGCTCTGAAAAGATGTGGAAAACTATACTGTCACTTTCGTTCTCTTGGCTATACAGGCCTACATTTCAGTGACTGGCCCAAAGGGTCTGATTGAAAAAGGAAGCCGTTCAATGAGATGAGAGATTCTATCAGAATAAGAGCCACAGCAGTCCATGGTACACAACACGTAATGCTTCTGTTACATGAGTGCAGATAGAAAGCTCCCCTGTTCCTTGCTACATGGCATTCTTCTGTAGCGCATAGATATTCTTTTATCTCATACCAACCTTAGGAGTAAGATATGATGATCACTGAGGAAACTGAGGGTGCTTTTATTCAGGGTTCAAGTCCAGGAAGTGCATTTTCAAACTGCATACCTTTTTGTAGGGTCAACTTTGTTTCTGCATCAATTATTAATTTTGATGCCTTACTTAGTAAAAGAGATGTGCTAGTTACAGTAGGGCCTTGGGCAATCTTCTAGTGCAAGGGAGAGGTCAAGGGTATATCTTAAGAGAGACTTCAGACCAAATCCTAAGACACATTAGAAATGGTTTCTGGCTTACGAACTGGAAAAGCTTAAAATGACCCTGAAGAACACGAAGGGTGAGCGGGTAGAGTAGGAGGGGTAGGAGATCCCAGGTAGAAGGAACAGCATTCCCCTGACCAGGACAGTCTAAGAATAAGTGAGAGAGAATAAAGGAGATTGGGCGCTTTTGACTTTCGAATTTTGAGATGCAAATTGGATTCAGAAAAGAAATAAGACTAGAAAGTCATCTTATATAAGGTTACAAAATCAATTTGATGTTTGATTAGATTTTCTTTTTTTCCATTTCCCCTTTTATTATTGGCAGAGTGCATTTCATCTGATCTGTATGTATTGAAAAGACAGGCATTTGTTAGAAGGACATTGGAGTGCTTAGAACAGCTGTTGGCCGTCTTACATCTCTTGCAGTAGTGTGTGGAAAAGATAGGAGTAGGGAAAGAATAGAGGCTCACAGACCGGCAGTGAGGAAAGGCAGAGGCTCTGGGCAAGGCTATGCACTGAGGGTCTTGCATTCTAACTACTGAGTTACCATTGGTATTTTGGGCTGAGGGATCCTTCATTATTAAAGATTTCCCTGAATACTGTAGTGGTTTTTATAAGTGTTGGCTCTCAGACATTAAATGTGATCATTACTTAATAACAAACGAAACTAGGCCCACTAACTTTCAAATACCCCCCTACCCAAACATGAGGCCTTCAACTAGCAGGAAACAAAAAGGAGATGACAGAATTGATGACTTCACCCAACTTTAATCACTATTAGAGCTTGTGTTAGTGGGGGAGAGGCAAACCAGTATCAGCAGTGATTCTTAAATTTCTGAGACATTGTAATAGAGACATGTGTGATTTATTGTCCTGAGTGACCACCAAAAGAAACATCTTCAGAAGTGGGCAAATGTAAGAATCAGGGACAACAGGATGCTCAAAATCCAAGACTTCCATTCTGAACACTGACTTTTTCTGGAAAATAAATCTATGAAACATTTTTATCTAAAAAATACATAAAAGGAGTAGTCCCTAAGTCCTGACATGTAAGGGACCCCTGCCAAGTAGAGAAATCTAGTTTTCATTTATATTCTTGTTGTTCTTTTTCCATAGCTAAACTGCTTACAATTAGCAGCTCTGGAGACTGTAACACTGTTGCCAACCTGTTGGTAAATTATGATAAATTCAATATGACATTTTTTGTCAAAGTCAAATGATGACATTTGGGTCTAAATGAATTGCATCTTGATTTACTATTATCAAAATGTTTAAACCTATAGAATCAAAAGTCAGTATAGTCTATGTCTACTCCATTATGTTTTAGTTTTCTTGTATATAGTAATTTCTTATTGAATTAATTAACATTTGTCAGCTAAGTAGCATCTGTTGGCATCTAATGTTATCACAACAAATCACTGCAACACATTTAAATTCAGCAGTCACAAAACTGCCCTGGGATTTGAAAATGGTTAAGAAGATAAGAGGATTGGTCATTCTGAAACAAATACTTGTTTTTAGTATTTCTTTACTTAGTCACATGATGTCATTATACATCCCAGGATGATCTGGAATTTGCTATGTGGCTCAAGAGGGCTTTGAACTCACAGTCTTCCTGCCTCTGCCTCATGAGTGCTAGACTCACAGGAACCCTTGTTTGTGTTGTTTTAGAGACAGGTTTCTCTGTATAACTCTGGATGTCCTGGAACTCACTCTGTAGACAAGGCTGGCCTCAAACTCAGAGATCTACCTGCCTCTGACTCCCAAGTGCTGGGATTAAAGGCATCAGCCACCACCTCTTAGCCATAGGCACCTTTTAAATAAAATTTCCATATTACCTTCTGGGCTGAGGAGGACTATCCATCCTTACTAATAATCCTAGTGCAGGGCTCTCCCCAACTACTGGGCTTGCATCTAAGGGGTTCTCCTTTGATACTGCAGTTTCCATCCAGGTACTAAGCTTGTCCTCCCCAAAGTCATCAGTGACCTGCCAATGATCAAGTGCAAAAGGTCTATAGTTGACCCACTCTTGATTACAAACAGTGCCACATTTTTTTTGCCTAAGTCTTACATATCAGATTACTCCTTACCAGACTTCCCCATGGGATCTGTTTCTTAGCCCTGTCTCTAAAACATAAGTGCTCTATATTGTTTCTCTCCTGGGTCACAGGTCTTTGCAGTGTGCAGGTAGTTTTGGGGTAACCTCACTCATTTTCAAGACTCTAACTACCACCCATTGATCACAGCTGCCAAATTCTCTCTCTAGTTATTTCCTTCTTCAAGAACCCCAGACCCAAACACACAAAAGCACACTAGTTATAACTGGACATCTCAGAGGCATCTCTAATTAAATCCCATCAGTTCAGGCCACACCCATTGAATTGCTTTGGCACGGGAAGATAGCAGCCTCTGTCTTTGCTCCTTGGGGATATGGCATGGTTTTAGAAAGAAAGACACATTTTGAGAATGTTATTTGAGAAGAAGTCATTCTAAGAAACCCAGAGAATGTTAAATTTACTTTAAAATTTCTACACTGAATTGATGGTAGTGATATCATAGGGGCCATTTGTTTTCCTGACTCTAAAATCCGTTCTTGTGGAATACATTATTTTCTCATCTGTCAACTTCGGGTCATTACATAACTGACACTGCTAAAGGAACAGCAAATAAAACTAAAGGCACAAAGGGTGGTAATGTTTTCTTATATGCAAAGGAAGTGATTGGGGGTTCTCAGCTGTCCACCCAAGTTCAAATCGCTGTTCCTACACTCAGTGGGTACGATTCTAGTTACTTAACCTCCACATCCTCACTTCTAGTGTGTCACTAATATTCTTGGGCTGCAGTACCTTCATAAGCTGTTAATTTTTCACTGTCAGCTCTTGTCCCTACAGCCCTTCAGAACTTTATCAGATAGGAATATGACTAAAAAAAACTTGGCTTAGGAGACACATTTATATCTCCCTTCAATAAATTAAATTACTATGAGCACAAAAATTTCTTATCTCTGAAGCTGGACTTTTGTGAATAGAGATAAGATGTTGATTCACCAATGAAAAATTGTAACTACTCACTTTAGAAACAGAACATAAATCCATGTGAAAAGATAGTTCAAATGCAAATAATTACAAATTTTATACAGAAATCTTTGGAGTTTTGAATTTACCTACATGTTGCTGGTAAAGCTAGTATCATGACCCACTGAGGCTGACTAATTTACACAAAAGAATTTGTAAGTCGGTTCCACAATTCAGCATAGAGACAGGAGGTGATAGTGAAAAAAGAAAGTTCATCATCACATTAAAAAGTGAGATTTTGGACAGCCACTTAGTCATTATCCCCTATGTTTCCTATTTGTAAATCAGCATATATGGTATAGACACCATCTACTCTCTAGGACAACCATAGTGAAATATTAAGAGACCATATGTGAGAATGTTCTGGAAGTCAGCATGCCTTGTAAATTTCTCTAACTATATTTTTTCTTATATTAACAGCTATTAGACACTAGCTGTTATTCTTAATTAACTGCTCTAGCTCAGCTCTCTTGAGAAAAGAAAATAAGATATAAATTGTAAAAAAAAAGAAACCTGAATTATTTGAATTGTGGCTACATAATTTTATAAGTTCATATACTAAACTTTTAAAATTAAAATAAGTAAGAAATTATTTTGGTGCCTCAAAAAGATGTCACTAGTTGTAGAAATAAAAACAAACACACAAGCAAACAAATATCTAGTCAAATTTCTAAAGCCTGAAAGTAGGGGCCAAAATTTTATTGTAATGCTTAGTTTTTCTTAGATATCACAATTCTTTCAATGAGCCATAGTGATTTTTTTTAGATGAGGCCACTCAAAGAAAAATAATTAGATAATGAAAGTGAGTGCCTAGCTGTGTAGATAGGTAATGTATGAGATGTGTAATTATATATTAATAAAGCAGTTTAAATGTATCACAGGTAGAAAGAGGGCCCTTTGATAGATATTTCTTCTCAGGCTTGTTTTGAGCACACAAATAAAAGATACAAGCATTCATATAAAATCAAGGGATATATATCCCGTGGTAATAGAATAGAATACATGTATTGGATATAAAGAATTGTTGACATAGTAAGCTATATAATTCTTTTAGAGTTTGTTTCGGATTTCCATTCCAATTGTAATTACTGTACCAGTTTGAACGAAGTATGAGCATTAGCTTTCTGATTGAATGTGAGGATGGGTCCTTATAGCTGTCCCTCATCATAGGACCTCTGGAGTGCACAGCTGGAAGGGACAGTAGAGATGTCCCACCCTAAACATATCAGCCTGCAGTTTAAGCACCAGCCCCAGAAAGATGACTGGATTCTTCATGCTCACATAGTAACTGACTCAGGCCTCCTGTTAGAGATTTCTCATTGTATGTCTTCCCTGTAGTACTTGTGAATAATGTATACATATATACTTGTATGTACACAGTGTTTTATAAATAATATATCTTATAATTATATAAATTATACACATTTTATAAATAATGTATTTACTCTTCTCCTTCCCATTTGGCAAGTTGGCACAGAGAAAGTTGTAATTGTCATTACATAGTTTTCTTCTATCCTTCCTTCCTTCCCTCCTTCCCTACTTCCTTCCTTCCTTTTCCCCCTCCCTCATCCTCTATTATTTCCCATTCTCCCCCTTTAGTTCTCTTTCATTTAATCAGATCTTGAATAACTGAGCTGGCTTCCAGACTGGCATTCAACTCAGAATCCATCCACCTCAGTCTCTCAAGAGCTAGGATTATAAGTGTGTGCCTCCATGCCCAATTAGATAACAATTTAACGTACGTTCATTTCAGAGTTTTCACAACATAACATCCCTAGATATTTCTCATATAGAATCAGGTCTGGAATAGGAAACCGAATCTCTTACTTGACTCCAGTTTCCAACAATCCAGTATGCAGGGCTGTGGTCCTTCATAAGTGACTTGTAATTGGAAGCATTTAGCAGGAATCCCTCAGCAATCAGACTAGATGCATCTTCCTCACTCAGGACAGGTCCTGAGCCTTGGGTTGGATTTGTATCATTTGCCAGTGCCAAGTGGTCATGGTTTTCTAAGTTTTCTGAGGGTGTTGGCTGGTGTCCTCCTGGAATGTTGCTTGGTTTTTCAGTGATCAGCCCCTCAGCTCTGAGTGTCTCATTTTTAAGGGACCAGTCAGGTAGTGAGCCTTCCATCGTTGTACTGTAGGGAGGCCATGAGGTCTCTTCCCTGACATAAGATGTCGGTGGAGGTCCAAGTGGTATTTCTGCGTTTCTGTCCACAGAAGAATCATGCTCAGGTACTCTTATCTTGTTCCATCTCACAGAGTGATTTTCATCCTTGTTCATAGGCTGGTCACTGTCTTCCCCTGAGCCACTATGTATCTCCACTTCTGGATCTGTGGTAAAGGTGTTATAAAATGCAGTTACTTGCCAAGTCACCTCATTGCTAGATGTTAAGCCAGAATCGCTTGTCGTGGTTGCCCAAAAGTCACCCTCTGATGTAGGACCTATAGCTGAACTAGAAACGGTTTCATCATCGGGCTGGAGACTCAATGACCAGGAAGTGAGAGGGGTCTGGGAAGTGCTTCCAGAAGAAGTAGGGTAGTGAGAGTCCTCTTCATTTTGGGTTGGTTCTTCTTCGGGTGCTATAGTAGGGCCAAGACTGGCGATTGCTGGAGTGCTTCTGCTCACAGACTCAGGCACTATGGGTGTGGACAGTAGTGTGGGCCTGGATGTAGGTGCAGTGATGGGCTTGAAAGGGTCATACTCTGGTGTTGGTTGGTTTTTCCCACCAGGAGCTATATCTTTATTGGGTTTCAGAATTCTACGGCTAGATGGACACTGCTGGAGACCACACAGAGCTCGACTGTTAGGTTTCCGTGTCTTGTCACAAGGTTCATTATGGTTCTTGGCACATGTGACACTGCGAATCCGCACTCCACCACCACAGGAAACAGAGCACTGGAAAAGAGAGACAGATGCTACTTTAGTGGGAAAAGATGACTTTTTTCTTATGGTCATGCTCAGTGGTGATGAATTGTGCAGCTAATGCTCTATCTCCATTTGGTTTCTATGCTTTGAGTTTTATATCATCTTCTGGAGATCATCCAGGGCCCAGGACCAGCCTGAACAAAAACCATGATATGGTCAAACTGAAGGTTTTCTGGGTCTTTAAAAATGGGCACCACTATCTACAAGGAGTGAGATGAGTTAAATCACTCACAGGGTCTCTTTGAGAGCCCAGAGACTATTACCTCTTTCTCAGGGTTACAGTGCTATTACATTAATACAAAATGTTCTCAGATTCTCAGGATCGCACTAAACTAGTTATATGAAACCTTTTATACTTAGAAAATAATGATAAGAATTTGTGTAGTTTTCCCAGATGTCACAGTCATTTATCTATGGCAAGTGGAATTACATTAAAAGCTGGATAATCACCATCCTCAAAAATACTCATGTTGTAAGGTTTTTTTTTCCTGAACTTGAAAAATGAGAAGTTAATCAAAGGTGGAAAATATCCTTTCTCAAAGAATGTAGTCCTCCCATCAGTGTGACATTAATATGCACACTGAGGAAATGGTGTGTTTCCCATCCCATTTTCCTTTAACATCCTGGAGGGTTTGCTGAAGCACAGCCATCTAGGTTACCTTTGTGGGGGATTCGGACAGAGCACTCCATCTTCAGAGTACAGTGCAAAACTTGTTTCCTCCAGCTCTATAGCTGCTAATCATACATAGTTGCTACGTGACATAGGGAAATTAGTTATTTTGAAAGATCCATACTTTTACCAAACTGCTCCATTTTTGCTTTTCCTAATGACATGTGTTTTCAACCAATAAGTAGCTAGCACTAGAACATGGACAACTTGGGTCCCCTTGCCATCCATTTTACACTGATTAGTATTTTCTGTATTTCATCCTTGAAGTCAAAGCAGGTTTCTTCGGGGTATGCCTGCACAATACTCCATAGATTTCACAGAGCCTCGCAGCCATTATTCTGTGTGATATTTGGAACATCTCTGCAAGATTTCCAAGGCAGGGTGATTATTTTTCCCTCTGCAAGAGAGGAGCCAAAGGCTAAAGAACTCATTTGAAAGGCTGCAGATCAGCCTCTGCAAAAAGTCATGTCTATTTAGCAAACTTTCTTCTCTACCAAAGTCTGGTGCAGCACAGATCCACAGGCTTTGCTTAGTGAGATGCCCAGTGCTTTTAATGTTACAAGAGTAACCCAAAGGCTGGGGTGTTCTTTATTCATACTTACATGACAGAATGATTCTTGAGATACTTGATCACTGTATATAATTCTAAGTGTTTTATTTGGTGGGGGAAAAAACCAAAATAGGGAAATTGTTGGTTATCAATAAGCTTATGTGTTTTTTTAAAAAACTTAAGTCCCTTGCTTCCTGATGAGGGAAGTCCTGTGTATATGTCAATAAAGCACTGTTGGCCAATAGGGAAGCAAGATAGGTGGGACTATGAGTCCAGGACGACTCTGGGTAGGAGAAACACAGGGAGTCAAGATGTAGATGCTATAGGGATAAGAAGCCCGGAAACTTTGCTCCGGTAAGAAAAATACTTAGATGAAGAATTATGGGGTAAATACTTAAGTCAGAGCTAGCCAGTAAGAAACAAGCAAGGCCAACAGCTTCATAATTAATATAGCCTCCTGTGTGGAACCAGGCTGGCCAGAAGGCTTCTCTTTACAGCTTCCTCGAGTCCTATTGACGTAAAAATCTCCTCCTTTATTTTGTTTCAGACAAGCACAATCACTCGGCATGCATAATAGCTGTGGTGAATCAGCTTCTTTGGAAGCAAGACGCACCACTGAATGCAGGAGGTCGCAGAATCAAAGCAGTAACAGGTACAGATTAGGGCTTAGGGTGCTGTTAGCAAACAACTCGAATGTCCAGTCCTGGGGCTGGCCAGTAGTTACAGTGTTAATCTCCGGTGGGAGCTGTGTTTTATACACAATGCTATTTCCCACCAACAATGAGGTTGTTACTTAAAAAAGTATCTTTTGGTGCTTCTGGGGCTCCTTCTATAATTCACCAGGAGCCTAAAAACAGTAAGATGGAGGTACTAATTTTTCTGCTTTGTCTCAGATTTTTGTCATTTTTTAATATGAAGACACTTTATGACCCATTTAATTTAGTCATTTCTCATCATCTTGGATTTTCAAATCTTCACATTGTAAAAATTTATAAATGTATCAAAGAAAGTTTCAGTTTGTGCATGCATATATTTCCCCACAGGCTGCTTTGCTGTTAGCATGGATTCACAAACAAGCTAGTGCCAAATGGTCTTAAGGTCATGTGGTCCCTCTTGCAATTTTTCTCTCCAAGAAGCATTCGAATACATGACAATATAGGGGGAGTCTTCTGCATCTGCCCCAAGCTTCTGGGTTGTTTTGGTTTGTAGGAGTTCTACTACCTGTGGGAATGTGAAAGCACACAATACACTTGAATTTTTTAAATTAAAAATCTTTGAAGTATTGCTCTCTGTTTCCACTTTATTGAATGGAGAAAAGAAATAACTTCAAAATATTGTTTTTTTTATTTTTGTTTTTGTTTTTTTTTGTTTGTTTTTTGGTTTTTCGAGGCAGGGTTTTTCTGTATTGTTTTGGAGCCTGTCCTGGAACTCAATCGGTAGACCAGGCTGGTCTCGAACTCACAGAGATCCGCCTGCCTCTGCCTGTCGAGTGCTGGGATTAAAGGCATGTGCCACCAGCACCTGGCTAAAATATTGTTATCTATAGGATTATGCATTTTTTGGCTTAAGTTCCTTGCTTCCTCAAGTCCTATTGGTGCAAGCATTTCCTCCTTTATTTTGTTTCAATCAAGCACAATCACATGCATTTTGGTCTACTCTATCTTCAAACAACAAAATAAAAAATGGAATAGTGGCAAACATTTTAAAAGTTAGAAATTTACTGTAAATAAGATCCCAGACTTTTGACTTTGCTTGCAAAGTCTGATGATCATTACCCATCGAACTCATTCCCAATAAGCTCAAAACTTCAGGTCTAGAAACCCAGGTTTATGATGGACACACATGTTCTCTGACACACCCACACATACCTTCCTTGCCCAGGAGATACCCACTCTTCCAGGTGACCTACATTGACCACTCCTTAGTCATCCTTATCACAGGGCATGTTGTGCCCAACAGGATGTTATCTACCAAGTACACTGAGTCTAAGCAGGAAGTCACTTTTTCTCACAGCCACCAGAACAAACAGTGCCTCTTTGTATTCATCTTGGAGCTCCTTCTAAGAGCATTTATCTCCTCAGGAACTGTCAAGCCCTTCAGAAGAGACAAATGCAACTGGCTGACACATACTTAAAGTGCATCTCAATTGGTACTTTTGGAACTCTCACAACCAATTTCAGCTATGATTATCATATACCCTGACCTTATTTATCATTTTGAACCCTGTATCAGGCAAGTAGCTTGTTATTCATTCTGTTTGTATCCTCTCTGGGAGTTATCATGCTTTCCCAAGTTACCACTCCTGGAGTAAAGCCTCTGGAGGAAGCTAGCTGAGAAAGAGGCCCGCTGCTAAGCTGGCCAATGCCACCCACCTGAGGTGCACAAAGGCAAGAGGATCTCACTGGAGTCTCAGAGGTATGGCACTGAGAGAGTTCATTCAAAAACAAGCACAGCAGGAACTTATTAGAGGCTTTGGGCTAAAGGGGCTTAGTGAGAAACAGCTAATATTTCGTACATAAAACATTTTCTATATCTCATGAATTTATAAATCAATGAGTGTGCTTCATATAAAAAATTATGTTTGAACATAAGCTAAAACATTATATGTTATGAGTGTGTGTCCCCTCTCCTCTCTAAAAGTAGACGTATCAGAGTCAAATTGCCTTCTATGTCAGAATGTGCTCTAATTTGGGGACAGTTTAATTGGGAATTAAATTGAGGTCTTTAGAGTGAGGACTAACCCTGTACTACAGTATTCTTACACAAGGGGGAGTTTTGGACAGAGAAACATCTTGTAGGAAGAATACATGGGAAGATGAAGGGTGGGATATGGTGGTTCACTTACAAGTCAGGGAAGCCCAAAGATTTCTAGGAAACTACCAGAAGCAGGGAAAAGGAGGCATGAGGTCATTGTCCCTCACAGAACTTCAGAAGGAAGTTAGCCTCCTGAGATCTTGATCTAGGATTTCTGCCTTCTAAATGGTAATACAAAAAATTTCCCTTTGTTTCAGACAACTTGTTTGTGAGACTAGTTAGAGAAACTCTTTGAAAGTAATTCCATATCTTAGATGATTTAAAACAGACACAATAAAGAGACTCATTGTGATTGGAAAACAGCTTTCTGAGTAGCTCTTGGCAACAAGAGTGCCTAGGACATTCCCTAGGAACCAGATGACCATAGGCTGTCATGTTTGGAAAGGGCTGGGATGTTGGCTTGCAGATACTCCATGACCAAAGCTGTACCACGGGTCAGAGCATCAACCCACAGGAGTGCTTGAGACCTTAACTGAGATACCAGAGGTGAGCTTGGAAATGTCTCCTGTCCCTCCAAGCTTTCCCTTCTGTTTACAGGAAGCCCTACAGGACGTCACATGTACTTTCCTGGTGTCGTGTTTGTTGCTATGCTTTCTTTTTGAAGAGCCATTGAAAACTCACTTGTGACAATATCTGGTCTGTTTAGTCTCTGCTTGGATTGGAAGTGTTTCTCCAGAAGGATCCTATGTTGAAGTCTGGTCCCACCATGGTGAATTCATTCACTGGGCATTGACTAGACTGTGGACACTTTAACCTCATCAATGGATAAATACCCCTATGGCTTATGGTAGGATGGCATTGCTAGGAGGTGACTTTGAGTAAAAGGTGGGTCCTGGTTGTAGGAAGAAGATCCCAGGTACAGGAATTAAAAGGTGCATTTTTCCTTAGCCTCTTCCTATTACTGCTTCCTAAATGCCACAAAGTGAACATCTTTCT